GGGACAGGTCTGAGTGGGGTTCTGCGGCCCCGTGCCTATCTCTCAATTCCAGGGCAGAAGAGCCACATCGCCACCCTGCCACTTACGGGATGGGGGACACAGGCCTGGAGGGCTCAGGCACAACTGGAGGCCCCCAGAGCCCACCAGGCCCCCTCCCTACTCAGTACTCTCCGTCTGGTGGTGCTAGTAGAGTTATCTCAGAAGCCCCTACCCCAAGGTGTCAGGTGCAGTGGGCCCTGGCTGGGTGCAGTGCGTCGGTGGCTGTTTCCGCGTCAGCAGATCACTGCCCAGAACTGAGGGTCTCCCGAGAAGATGAGGCCATTCCCTTTTCCAGGTGGCCTCACCTCGATGCCTCCTGGGCACCACTCTGAGGCAGAGAAGGGGCCCCTCGCCAGGACATGCCCAGCTGACTGCTGCACCCTGCCTTCCGGGGGCTGGAGCGAGCCCAGCCGCTGGTGCTGTGTTTCCAGGGGCAGCTCGTAGCTAGGGGACATTGACCTATCTGGCCTTGCCCCTCCACGGTATTTGCAGAGACAAATTGAAGGGGGTATGAGCCCCATAAATACCACCATGCCACCACGAGAGGACAGTGGCCTTTGCTGCCGGGGTCCTGCCACAGAAGGGGATATGCGGGGTCAGCCTGGTTGTGGAAAGGCTCAAATCTTGGCCCATGAATCCCAGCCATTCCCATCAAAGACCATGCAGGTCAGGGAGGTGAGTTCTGAAGACCAGCCTGCAAGGGTGGCAGCCAAGTCCCTTCGTGGAGTGTCCCCGCCAGCATCCTCAGCATCAGGTTGTCCTGCCTCCTCCACACACCTCTCGTCACCCACCCTTAAACAGCAGCACCCCCTTCTTCCCTTCCTTCCTCTTCCCCACATTTCAATTCCTCCGATGAAGGGCTAAGATAATTCAGTAATACCTTTCTCAAGCAGAGGGGTGGCAAGGATGAAAATCTTGCATTTTATTTTCTGTAGAAATCGCATTTCTTCTGGTGCAGGCCTGTAAGGAATCCGCCCAGAGGTTCTGTAGCATCCTGCGTGAGGCGTTCTGGAGCCCACTCTAGCTGGGGAGGGCCCCTGTTTACAAGCAGTTCTGTCCACCTTGTGGTGTCCTGTTTTCTAGGCAAAAAATATCTGTCTGTTGTACTGTATCGCCTTGAACACGCGCTCCAGGGTGACACTCTTTTAAGAAACGTATCCTGCTTCTGCAACTCTAGAGAGTGCTGGGGTGGGGATGGTGGGGGGATAAAAATCCCTTCCTACTCATCAGTGTTTGACGGACGGAGAGGAACAGCTTTTCTTCTTGGACTAGGCGCTGAATAAACAACAATGTATCTTTTCTGTGTTCAAAATAAATATGTCAATAAAAATGCAATGTAGCAAGAATTAACACTCCCAAGGAGTGCAGGAATCTGGAGTGTTGGAGGGATGGTCCATGCCTTCTGAAATGTGTAAGGAAACACCAGACAGTAGGAGCTGCAAGTGCACCTCCATCCAGCAGTCCCTACTGGTTACTTCTCAAGATTAAGAGTCATGGAAGGGGCCAGCGGATGGCGAAAGGGTTATGTCGCTGGACTCCTATCACTCCCATTTGAGTCCCAGACCCGGCAACTTAAAACTCATGCCAGGTGCATGTGCATGTATGCCCAAAATCCGGAAAGGAGAATGGAGAGTGGAAGAGAAGGAACTGCGGCAGGGTCATGCCCCTGGGAGATGATTTCTCCTTTTCTATTTTTGTCTCTGTCCAGTGAGCAGATGGACCCTATTGCAATCATCTCAAAAAAAAAAAAAAAAAAAAAAAGCCACTTGAGGCCAGGACCAGCTGATGACATAATGGTTACGTTGCTGGACTCCCACATTGTCAACCATGGTTCAAGTCCCTGGACCCAGCAACTAAAAACTCATGCGGGGTATGTGTGCACAAATGCTCAGGATCCCAAGAGAAGGGATTGCGGCGTGGCCATTCCCACGGGGGTGATTTCTCACTTTCTGTCTCTGTCTCTCCAGTGAGCACACATGCCCTATAGCAAAAATCTCTCTCTAAAAAAGTCACTGGAACCTTCTCATTTACCTACTGAAATGCACATTTGGGTAGGCAATGACTTACAGGAGTTACTTTTTTTTGTTAACCTCACTGAAACATGCCACCACTTCTCTGAGACTTAGCTAGTGACAATGTCGCTCAGAAGGGCCATCCACTTCAGCACCTGGCTCCAGAAACACCAGGGACTACACAGCCTCATGGCTTTTACTACCAGGGAGGAGGGGGGACTTGTAATTAGACAGGAATGAGTTGTTTTGCTGGCTCTGCAGAAAGCCCCCTTTCTGTTCTGTCCAACTGTGGCTTTTGCTGTGGGTCTTGTTGGTCTGGTGGCTCTCATGACAAAGCCTGGCTCCCTTCCTCTGTCATATTCCTTCCATCCCTCTCGGACTGAAGTAGAGTCCACTAGCAGAGTCCTGGCCCCCTAAGTGCCCTGGAAGGGGGATGCCACCTGAAGGAGGGTGCAGAGGAGGGGAAAATGGTCCAACAGCCCCACTGGAGGGGCTGAGCCCGCTGCCCCCCACCCACCCACCATCCCACTCTAAGCCACACTGCCACCTGCTGGCTGTCAGCTGCCACTGCTCAAAGCAAAGGCGTCAGCTCCTGAAGAATGAGGAAGCCCCCTTCTCCCTTGGAGAAGGAACTTGGAACCCTGCCACCCACAGATATTCACAATTGTGGACAAAACTTGCCTTTTTGACCCTGGGCTTGTCTTACACCCTTGGGTGTTCCATCAAGCATTTCCTTTTCAGGACTAAACCTTGCCTTCCAGCCTCTCTCTGGCTATACCCCTCC